CGATGCTCCGGGTACCTGATAAATTACGAATGAGTCAGCCATATGGTATCAGATACCATACCGTTATCGCCCAAAAAAAAAAAAAAATCCCGGCCTCAACTAACAACTGCTACGCTCACGAGATGTCGGACCACACATCTAAGCGCAGGAAGCTCAGTCCTTCCCCGGAAAGTACTGTTACTAGTCCTTCAACGAAACAGACATCGAAAGTGACCGAGAAGCGAAACCCGACTCGAGGCAAAGATGAGCGCTCTGCAGAGCTTGCAATGGCCAGCGGCTTTTACAAGTCCAGTTTCTTCAAGCTGCAAATGGACGATCTACTGGAGGGATTGAGACCCAACTACAGCATGCAAGTCTCCAAGGTTCAGGAAACACTACACCAGCTCAAGACGGCCATTGAAGGCCTGCCCGAAAAGTCTCCGCAATCTGTCCCCGACGCCGAGAAGGAGCTACGTGCTTCTGGTCTGGTGGTCCCATGGCCAGAGCCTCGGCCAAGCAAAGATGTCAAATACAGCATGGCATACGCAAAGCCAGCGAATATCAACGTGGTAGGTAGCTTTGCGCTTAAGACAGGCGCTCGCACTTTGGAGTCGCGCCCAATTGATCTGGCAATCACTATGCCAAGCTCGCTCTTCCAGGAGAAGGACTACGTCAACTTCAGATACTTCCACAAGCGCGCCTACTATATCGCGTGCGTGGCAGCTGGGATTCAAGACACCGCGGACACCCTCGGGTTTGATATCAAATTTGGTCCCCAGGATGGAGACAGTCTCCGTCCTCTCATCTTGTTGGAACCGCGTCAAGCCGAATCGTCCGGGCCTACCATCCGGATTCTGACCGCAATCGATCCTACGTTGTTCCGCATCACAAGAACGCTTCCACTCAAAATCAATATCCGCCAAGCCTCCAATAACTCGGAGGTCGGCGAACCGACCTCGTATTACAATGCCAGCCTCCGTTCCGATGCCACAGTCTCTCTCTATCACAAGTATATCTACTCCGCCTCCAAGAAATGCAATTCTTTCAGCGATGCATGCATTCTTGGCCGCACTTGGTTGCAACAACGAGGCTTCCATACCCCCTTCCAGAATGGAGGCTTTGGTGGTTTCGAATGGACTGTACTTCTGTCCTTGCTCTTTGAAGGTGGTGGTCCGGCTGGACAACCGGTCCTGCTACCCTCATACAGCTGCTACCAAATTTTCAAGGCCACCATCCAATTTTTGGCTGGCAGAGATTTAACCACTCCTTTATTCTTTGGCCAAGAGGTCCCAGTTCCTTCCGGTGTACCCGTTGTTTTTGATGGCCGCAGAGGGTTGAACATTCTTTACAAAATGACCTCTTGGTCATACACAACACTGCGTCATGAAGCCGCCGTCACCCTGAAGATGCTCAATGAGTCACGAGAGGACAACTTCGATAAGGTTTTCATTCTCAAGGTTGACGAACCAGCCCTCAGATTTGACCGCTTGATCTCATTCCCCAAGTTATTCAATGGAGATACGCTCCACGCTCTTCACGATCTGAATGCTTTGTATAATGTTCTTTCCCGGGCTCTGGGGGACAGAGTCAAACTTGTCTCTATTGTGAGCCGCGCCATTGATTCGTGGTCAGTGAAATCCAAGCAGCCCAAACGGTTGAGCCAGGGTGTGTCTGTAGGACTGTTGTTGAATGCTGAAAATGTCGGACGAATTGTCGACCATGGTCCGGCTGCAGAAGAAAAAGAAGAGTCTGCTTCGTTCCAAGCTTTCTGGGGTGAAAAGTCGGAGCTTCGACGATTCAAGGATGGCAGCATCCTGGAGAGTCTTGTGTGGTCTGACGAGTCGGAGACCTCTATCATCTATCAGATTTTGGAGTACATACTACAACGGCACTTCAAGATCACCACCGATGAATTCGAATTTGTTGGCGATGAATATGACGAGCTCCTCAAAGAGCACGGCGATGACATTCTAGCATACTCCAGCCCTGCTTTCCAGTCAATCGACAATGCCTTCAAGGATCTTGAGAGATCTGTTCGCAGCATGGACGAAGTGCCACTGGAGGTACGTCACCTGGCCCCGGCCAGTTCGCTTCTTCGTTATACCTCCCTCAGACCCACGGGAGCCACCGACGTTGTTCTTCAGTTTGAAAGCTCCTCGCGTTGGCCTGATGACTTCGCCGCTATCCAAATGACCAAGGTTGCATTCCTTTTGAAGATTGGAGACTCTCTGGAATCGTCGGGTGCTGCCTCGTCTTGCCGTGTAGGCCTCGAAAACGAATCGAGCAAGGTAATCAACAATGCGTATTTGCAAATCCCCCATTCTTCTGGCGTGTTATTCCGGTTGAGGATCCACCACGAGCGTGAACAAACCCTACTCGAGCGCAATCTCAAGGACCGAAATCTGAGTTCCCGGGAACGAGAAGAGGCCGCCTATGCTCTCTTCGCCTACAAAAAAACCTTTGTCCAAACTCCGCGCTTGACACAGGCGCTCAGAAGTCTGTGCACACGGTTCCCCTTGTTGTCGCCCACTATTCGTCTTACCAAACAATGGTTTAACTCTCACCTGTTTACTGCCCAAATCAGCGAAGAGTTAATTGAACTGCTGGTAATTCGCACTTTCACTCAACCTAACCCTTGGGAATGTCCTTCTTCTGTCATGACCGGATTCCTGAGAACTCTCCACTCCCTCTCTCGGTGGGACTGGCAGCAGGAGCCCTTCATTGTTGACCTGGGAGGTGATCTGACGCCACAAGTGACGGAAAATATTCGCACTCGCTTCACGGCCTGGCGCAGCATCGACCCTGCGATGAACAGTCTGGCCTTTTTCGTCGCCTCTGACATCGACACTGAGGGAGTCACCTGGACTCAATACGAGATGCCCTCCAAGGTCGTGGCTGCTCGGACGTCCAGCCTGGCCAAAGCGGCAGTAAACCTGCTACGAAGCAAGACCCATGATATGGATGTTTCCGAGCTGTTTAATACGTCGCTCGCTCCCTACGACTTTGTCATCCACCTTCGCCCAAAGCTGTTTAGCGGTTCCTCGACACCTAGGTTCAAGAATTTGGCCGAACCCCGTTCTGGAATGATGCAGACCATCAAGTCGTTTGTCTGTGATGTACAAGCCTGCTATAACCAGAGCATTTTGCTCTTCCACGGAGACGATCGTTGTACAGTGATTGCCGGTCTTTGGAACCCGCAAACTCTGAAGTCGCGACCCTGGAACCTGAAGACGGCATACTCGACCGCCCCAGGTGATACCTCCGGTGAGGTCGTAATCAACCGGACTGCTATTCTGAACGAGATTGCGCGGTTGGGCAACGGGCTCATCGAAAACATTGAGGTCCGTGCAGAGGAATAGATCTTGCCTTTGATTCGAATTGGTGTACATTAATTACTCTACAAAATAGTTCGAGCATATATATCGCAGGTTTCTTACGAATTCCGCTTTTCGTCAACCCTGGAACAATGAGAGATGTTATGATGAAACTCTTAGCCTTCACTATATTAGATGATATTAATGCCTAAGGTGTCAACCACTGATAGCATGTGCAATCCTGTTTTCATCTTCTCTCATCACCTCAACAATGGCCGGCATAACTCGGGTTCAGCGAGCCCTCCATTTTCAATTCCAGCCTTGGAATCACTATCCTTTCCACGCCCACCTCCGATCCAAATTACTGCCCATCTGCGCGCAATCCCTTTTCTCGACCTCCGCCCCGAGCCAGCAATCCCGCGGACACTCCCCATCACCATCCCCTACAACCACCGCTGTCTCAACTCCCTCCAAAACCGAAATAAATGCCCCAATCAGCACGCACCCTGCCGCCATCACAACCCCATCCCCCCTACCTTCCTCCGCAGGCGCAACAGGCAAATTAAGACGCTATGTCGAATTCGGCCGCGCATACGTGACCTTCTACAAAACGGGCCTGAAAAACGTCTACCGCAACTACCGCGCCTCACTCCCTCTACGGAGGAAACTAGGTCTGCCCGCCTACATCCCCATATCCCCGCCACGGACAAGAGCACTCAACCCCAACAACGGCAGCGCGCCATCACTAGCACCAAAATCCAAGCTCGGCCGCGCGCAATTCCAGCTCGTCCGCCGCTCGGCCCGCGATGTCCGCCGCATGATCCCCTTCACGATGATCCTGATCGTCTGCGGCGAGTTCACACCCCTAATCATCCCGATTTTCGGCTCTGCCATTACACCCGCGACGTGTCGTGTGCCCTCGCAGGTGGAAAAGGAGCGTGTTGCTGCTACGGCGCGCAAACTCGCGGCCCTACATGTGTTTGTCGCTGAGAATAAGGATCGATCCATGCATTTGCTCAAGGCCGGCGATGCGGAGCAGTTGGCTCTGCTTGCTAGGTCTTTTGCTGACCCTGTCTGGGTCGCTAGTGCGGGCTCCGCAGATGTGTTGCGTGCCTGTGCTGTTTTTGGTCTGGTTAAGCGTCATGATAGGACTGCGGGCGAGTCGCTTGCTGGTTTGATCTACCGGCCTCGGCTGGCGCGGTATGTCGAGTACCTGGCTATTGATGATGGGATGATCCGTGTTGGTGGAGGGGTTTCGGCTATGAATGCTACTGAGGTGCGGATTGCGGCTGAGGAACGTGGTGGTGTGGATGTCTCTTCTGGTACTCAAGACCGGAAACGCGTAGAAGAATTGGAGAGGCGCTGGTTGGAGCAGTGGCTGTCTGTTCGTGGAGACAGTCCCAGGTCCAAGAAGTAGTCTTTTGGAGGCTCATATAGACTAGAGGTCCATGCTTGCACAGTAGATGTTTCTTAGGGATTCTGTGTATTATATCCAACATTTCGACTCATAAAAGAGCTGTTTTCCGTCGAGCTTTGCTATCGTTACTAGCCGTAGAGCCTACAGCTTTAGCCCGCATGTTGTTTCTGCATGCAATTCTTGAAATTGCATATGGAAGGACATGTACGAAAGAAAAATCCAAAATCCAAGCGCTCGAAAGTAGGATGTGTCAATTTCGACAGTCAAACCGAAAGGGTATCAAGAAACCAGCCCTCCTAGAGAAGGAAATCCATTTCGAAAAAAAGAAGAAGAAACCAACAGTTGATATACTCACCGTCAGTCCACTCTAAAAGACGAAGAAGCCGTAGCCTGCGCCTGCGCCTGGCCACGGATTTGCTTCGCCCACCGCAGACCACAGCTATTGCAAAGATCCCGATTTCCACTCGGACCACGCCGCCACTCCGGGGTGTTCTTTGTGTTGCACATGGCGCAGAACTTCTCGACCGCTATAGCGCCCAGCTTGCGCTTGCGCTTCCTGCGGCGAGCCAGCAGGCGTTGCAATTCATCGGCCAGAGCGCGGTTCTGCTTCTCTAACTCCCGCAGCTCGATCTGCCAGCTCGATCCACGGGTGGGATTGAGCTCTGTAAAGAAGGTTGCTGGCTCGGCAGAAGGTGAAATGCTGCGGTTGCCAGTAGGCAGGCCATTGAGGCCGATGAGGTTTGATAGGTCCGGCATGCGTTGACCAAGGGCACCGTACTGCTGGGGCGGGACGGTGTCATCGATGGTAAGCGTTAAATGGCTTGTAGTGCCGGTAAGCGTAGCGAGACTTTTCTTTTCGGCTGCTGAGATGGCGGTGGCGGATGGAGGGACGGATCGAGCAAATCTTATCTGGGCGACGAGGAATGTCGGTTTGGTTCCCTTCGCTGCGTCGCCGGTGTACAATGTGGTATGTGCTAAGAGCGGATGGCCTTTCTTATGCCACATTTGGTGTTTGAATGAGGGTGGTTCATCCGTTTCTTTGCCGCTACCCACACCGGTGGCCATGCCAGCTCCTTGTCCACCAGAGGCTGCCTCCAGGGCTTGTGTGATCGTGGTAATGCCACCGGTCTCGGGCTGCATGATCTCTTGTAGGCCTTTACCAATCAGATCATCAGGTGAGCGGCCGAGTACCGGCTTCACCTTCGAAGTAACGAACAGAATGACACCAGACAGAGAAATCTTGGCCCAGATGTCATTCTCGGCCAGCGCAGCGGACGAGCCCAGCTGGGCAATCTGATCGAAGGTGTAGACGGGTCGCGGGCGGCCGGTCATGACTATATGCCTCCGGCCCTGGCTCGGGTCGATGGGCCACGCGCCGCGGCTCTCGAACCACATATATCCTCGATGCTTTTGTCTGATGCGATACGCAACACTCAGTGGAGCCGTTGTCGTGCCCGCCCACAAGTCACGAATTACAGGTCCAATATCACTGGGATGGCAGATGGTGGACAGGGTCTTGCCGATCAATTCGACCGGATCGTACTCTAGGATCTTGTGGCAAGAGGGCGACAGATACAGGAACTCACCGTTCAGTGAAAGCACATGGATCACGTCATCGGTATTCTCAACCAGAATGCGATCCAGGTAGTGCCGGTTGACATCATTGCCTGCACCCATGGCGTTGAGAATGGTAGTCACTTCGTCGTGACCATATCGCAACCCGAGGTCTGGTCGTGAGGAGTATACATCTGCTGGTGGGACTATGTACTGTGGCAGCTGATCACGCTGATAGTTAATGCTATAATTACCATCTATACAATGTTAGTGAGGGCATTCGCCACGAAGATGCAAAGTATACCAGGATTTCTTCCCCTCACAGCATCGGGCTTTTCAACCAGATCAACCTGGAACCCAACGTAGTACCGATAAACATCCGAGTCCCACTGGATTGGGACCATCGTGATGAGATTCATGAAGGGTTGTCCGCCCTTGCGGTAGTTGATTATACTGGCCTGGATCTCACTGCGATCGTCGATGGTTGATCGTAGTCGGTGGACAGTTTGTCCATCAACAAAGGTCCGCTTAGCGCCAGCGCTGATCCTGCCGTCGGGAGCTTGAAGGAATCGACAATTCCGGCCAACAATTTCATCTTTAGTATAGCCGGTCAATCGTTCAAAGGCCTCTGATACATAGACTATTGGATGATCCTCGATCAAAATATCGCACATCACAAAGGCGCATGAGAGGTCGACGGCGCCAATGTTAATTTTAGGGTTGTGCCGCATAGCTACACGGCCCTGAATAAGGTTAGTATGCTGTCTGCTACTCTCTATGGGATAAACGACATACCAACGCTCCTAGCACGTCAAAGCCAGTCGTCGAATAGATGCCGGTATGTTCAGTCTTGCCAATATCTGGCTTTGCCAGGCCTGGCGAGAAATGCTCTGATTGCGCGTTCCCGCGTCAGTCATACCATGGGCCAGGCCCAACGGAGAGGTGCCAGACACAGACACAACTCACCTTTGGCAGCAACGGGCTTCTTTGGCTGGATAGCCACCGGCTGCGATGCACGGTAAGGCTTCCCAGCAGGCAGGCGGCGCTCCGGAGGTTGTCGCTGAGCCGGCTCCGGCTGCACCTGCACCTGCACCTGCGCCTGCGACCAGTCGCTCGTGCGACCCCCAAAGTCGGAATTCTCGAAATTGGCTGTCGAATCGGCGCTTGTATCGTATGGTCCGGAGCAGGCTGGCGGAGCGGGCTGGGAATAATGGGGTACCATCATAGAGTGTGGAAAGGTCGGGTATGTAGACTGAAACTGTGAATGATCCATCTGCGGAGGGATCCCCATGGTGGTGGCCGAGTAGGTGGCCGGGATATCGTAGGTATAGGAGTTGGTAGCGTTCATATTCATTGACATTGAGATAGCCGAGGTCGGAATCCCGTCGTACGTGAGCATGACATTAGACCTGGGTCCTTCCAGGTCCGAAGGCTGTGATCGTGCGAAGTTCTGAAGAGGCAAATCCGCATCCTGGGGTAGCATAGCACTGAAGGCATAACTACCCTGGTATGGAAAGGTCGTATATGAATGGTTTGGAGCTTGTGAGGTAATCTGATATTCATCGTCATATTCAAAGTTGAAGCTGCTCATGTTGGTAAATTAAAATATCTGTGGCCCAGACCGAGTTCCATCCCGCGGTAATAATCTGGAAGTGAGAATTTCCAAAATATGCTTGCGGTTTGTGGATATTTATAAAGCGAAGGTGTTCGATATCTGTGGAGGAGAGAGAAAGAGAGAAAAAGAGAAAAAGAGAAAAAGAGAGAGAGAGAAAAAGAGAGAGAGAGAAGAGAACTTGATGTCTCCAAAGTACAAAATGTATGTGGAGAAGTACTCGCCAATCCCGGGGAATTTGATATTCACATTACATTTTGTCTTGTAAATATATTATATTCTGTTTCTCTATTCTATTCTATTTTCTGTTCTATTCTATATACTTTGTATGTTATAGATTGTAGAAATTGTAACGTCCAGTGTTCTGTATCCAATGAATGACATGTCTATGTCGAGAAACCCCATAAGACCTATCATAATGACAATTGTAGAAAGAGTGAGGGTATTAGGTACATTAAGAAATAAGCAACTAACTAGTTAGTTAGAGAAAGAGAGAGATTAACTATTAAGATACATAGAAACGGAGTATATATTGGTATATTGATAACTAACCCCTATTATATTAATAACCCCCCCGTCAACATTCCCCCCTCTACACTCCCTCCAATGTCCGTTGGCCATGGACAAGATCTCAATCACCATCTGCGGAGATGGTGGATGTGGTATGTTACCTTCTCTTGTCTGGGAATATCCCCCGTGATTCGGTGCCAGTTTCGATCGAGATCTGATCTGATCGCAGGCAAATCCTCCATCACCATGCGGCTGGTCCGTAGTCAATGGGTTCACGAGTGAGAACCTTTCCCCGACCTTGGAAAACCAACGCTAATATCTCATTTCTAGATATGATCCAACTATCGGTATTTCGCACCCATTCCGATGTCATTCCAATTCTAATCGGGCCCAGAGGATTCATACTCCGTCACCCGCAAGGTCGATGGACACCCCTACGTTCTTTCCATCACCGATACCGCAGGCCAGGAGGAATACCGTGGGCTATGGTCTGCCTCAACCCTGAACTCGGACGCCTTCCTCCTGGTCTACGATATCACCAATCCATCGAGTCTTGAAACGCTAGATCATTTCATGGAGATGATCCATATGGAGGCGGAACAACGCGTCGAGGACAAGCAGCGACTGCGCCAGGAGTTGGAAAAGAAATCTGGAAGTGTAAGCCATGTTGGCCTGCCACCGCCAGTTAAAATCGTCGCGGGCAACAAATGCGATCTCAAGGATGGTCGGGTGGTGACGTCCCGCGATGGACTCGAGTATGCGCGCAAGCACGGCTGCGGGTTTATGGAAACCAGCGCTCGCGATATGGTCAACATAGAGGAGACCTTTGCCCGTATGTCTGTCAGCAAGGGAGGAGAAGGGAGAGTAAGCTAATGACTGGATAGATTTAGTCCGTCGCGTTGTCGAAGCCCGACTCCAAAGCCAACACGGTCCGCCTCCTCCCCAGTGCGAGCCATCGCACAATACCCTACCAACAACCACTGTAGACGCAATTGCAGGCGAGACCCGATCCCGTGGAAGTCGCGTGTGGGAGTTTATCAAACACCGGAAGACAACGGAACCCGCAAAACAGGGTCAGGAACAGAGTGAAACCCAGAACGGAACCGAAAAACATAAACGTCAAAAGTGTTATCGGGGCTGCTGCGTTTGTCGGCTCTGGTGTTTTCACTGCTCTTGTTGATGGAGAAGGCTGTACATTATAAAATGACGTAGATTAATATACCCCTGTCATATATATATTTTTTGGGCGTTTGTGTACATAAAGTTGACTTAGGGCACGGCACGTATGAGAAACTTGGAGCAACCCAAGCCCACCTTCGGGGTGAATAGAGTGAATGGACTCGGAATGCATCTCCGATGTTAAACCGGTGTTACGGGGGACATGCTAGGGAGAGTTCCCACGGGTTGACATTTGAATTTGAGTTGAATTGGATTTGATAGGATTTAAGTCGTCACATATTTCCCAATGCGGTAAGTATTTGAGCTAAGCTTTGAACTGCACGGAATGTCGGAGATAGGGGAAATAGGGAGGGAACAGAACTGGAGAGAAATAAGAAAGAAAGATATCTTAGGATATATTCTAGAAAAGGTCTAGCCCTTTGATAGAGAGGGATACCGAAAAGGAATCTTCCTTATTGGGCCAGAATGGTCACGTCATGGACTTTCCCATCTGACAATTGGTAATCTTGTGTCATGAATCACGATTTGAAATGGGATTACTGATTATTCTGTAGTATATTATAAACTAGATTTTGATCATATAAAGGAATCTACCTCGGAATACATAATATAATGAAATCTCGGGTGCAACATGCAATTCGGCATGGGCTTGCCGATTTTCTTTTTTATACGCTTACATATAGGATTATGCTTATGCTGAAAATGCATTCATGTAGATTTATTCTATTCTATGTTTATTCTATGCTTCATTCTATATACCATTATATGCTATCTATTTGTATAGTTAAACCTATCTATATTACAAAATAAAATAAAATGTGTGGTCGGAAATGCCCTCCACTCGGATATACGTCAGTCGAAAGTCCCCGAGCTCCGTCAGCAAATGCCGAGTCATCCAGTAACTTTCAGTGTATTGAAATTGTATTGTATTTTATGATTTTCGATCCGATCCCTTTTTTATGCTCTCTCTTAGACTCTACATACATGTTAGACATCCATGACTCTAATAATTATTAAAATATATTTTATTTTAATCCTAAACTAGAACCCCCCTCTTTTTTTTTGTTATATATGCACATCTACTCCCATGGTGACCTTGCAGTGACTTTTCTTATTACTTCTATACTACTTTACTCCTCTATTATTCCTTAACCTTCATATATCCACGGTCCCAAGGATTTCCTATCTGCATCCGTCTACTTTATTTGAACTCAATTTCTTTTAATCTGTGAACGTCATTATATCATTGACCCCAATTTGACGTCGATCCTACTCGGGTCGGGAAGTATAGCTAAGGGTCAAAATCCCCTACTATATCCTCTCTCTCTCCATCATACTTTCGATCTTCATAAATTATGGCAGCTCGCCAATCAACACCGACCTCGGACTCGCATTCGGACAGTAATGTCCGCAAAAGAGTATGCAAAGCATGCGATCGGTGTCGTTTGAAGAAATCCAAGGTATGTAATAACAAAAAGACGAGCAATCGTCCCAACATACACTGACCCGGACAGTGTGACGGATCCAGCCCTTGTTCCCGTTGTCGTGCAGATAATGCCATCTGCGTCTTTGGAGAGCGGAAGAAGGCGCATGATAAAGTATACCCGAAGGGGTAAGCTAAATAGCTATATTTAAAGCCTAGAGAACCCCCCACTGACTAGCTATCTCCCCCATAGATACGTTGAGATGCTCGAACAGCAACAATCCTGGCTGGTCCATGGCCTCCAGGAACTCTATCGACGCAACATCGAAGGCGAAGGCTGGCCCGGCGAGCAGCTGAAACTTGAACCCAACGGTCACCCACTCACTCACGACCTGCTCATGCGCCTCGGCGCCCTCGACAGCTCCAAGGGCGAGCGCTTTGAAGAAAATCCCGAAGCCCTACAGCAGGATCTATGGCACACCAACGCCGGCATGCAACGCCAGGAATCCTCTGACTGTGGCTCCGATAGTCCCCAGTCACCAGTGCCCCGCTCGCGCTTCTCATCCGATGCTTTCTCCCAGCAGCACATGCCGCCCACGCCGCCAACATACAGCCCCTCGACACGTGCGCCCATCAAAACCGAGCCTCATCCTCAGCCTCAGATGCCCAACACCCCGCAATTCGCCCAACCCATGTCTATGCAGGGCGTGGTCAACCCACTGGCTTTGCAAGGTCCGCAACAGTGGCCTAGTAACGGGTTCAATCCTTTCGATGAGATGGATCTGATGTCCACAGCCGATTACTCCAATATGCCCTTCGACGACCAGCAGCTATCATCGCCTATGTTCAATCGCCAGGTTCCCATCAACTGCTTGTCTCAAGGGTCATATCTCGATTCCAAGAATGACTATGAGGATTTCAACCAATTCCTCAATCCAAACCCTACGGAGATCACCTCGATCTGAGCCTTATCCCTTTTAGGGTTACTTCCTTTTCGACTCTTTTCTTTAACGCCGTATGACGTGATGCATGTATACTATACATGTTCTGGTTTTTCTATCTCTTCTCTGGGGCTATTTTCCCCCACAAGTTCTGTTGACTGGATTCAGGCGCAATTGGGATCCTAATCACCTCTGTATAGTGAACCGGTTTTCGGAGATTTGGAGTTTTTTCCTTCCTTTTATTTATTTATTTTTTTTCTTTCTACTTTCTTTTTTTGTTTTGTCTGGAGTTCTAAAACGGGGTTTCAAGGAGGCGTCTATTTTTTTATCTAATTTACACAATTCAATGAAGTTTCAAGGTCATGTCACCGTTACACCATCCGAAACGGGAAATGATCTCATTCGACTTTATATCTCAATTAACCCAGGTACCGTTCCAGAAGATCGAAAAGATCTACTCCGTATAGCGGAGGAAGATGCCGATTGGAAGACTAATAAGACAGAACGGGAATAATTCAGGCTCTCCAGTTTCTTTTTTATTATTATTATTTTAATATAAGTAATATTGTATTATACATGATTATTGATCTTCTGACTCAGCGGATATGTAATATTTCTTCTCTCCGAATCTCCACATTTGAGCGATTTTTGCTTGCTTACGTGAGACTTTTGCTTTATAACCTCCATCCCACCTAGGCTCCCTTTATGGAGGTACATGGACGTGGAGATCAAAGTCGCCGAAGTCCCGATTTACCGTTATGGGCCAAATGCTCCGAAGTGGAAATATGCAGTTCCATTACATATTCAATTCTGATTCCCCTCGAAACCTATATAAACTGAGTTATAGCCAAGCATATGTATTCGTATATCGTATTCGGTCCCCTGACACACAGCCCCATCGCCAAACCTGCTTTGTTTTGCCAACTTACTAGTCGTACTAAGAAAATGCCTGCCTAATATAATGCCAAATGCCAACCCAATGCCAACCCTCTATTATGTATTCTGTATTCCGTACTCCGTACCTAACTAGTTAAGTTAACTAACTAGTTAGGTACCTGCCAATCATTAATACTGAAACCTTGGCATCTCTCCTTTTTTTCTTTCTTTTTTCTTTCAATGGGCCGACACGAGTCCGGGGTATAGGTCCCTTCGGACGCCGGACTTCGTTCCCTCCGACCGGATGCAGGCTTACCCTAACGCCGACGTGCTATGTCCGCTTTATGCGTGATATATTGTAGTTCCGTGTAAATCTCTGATTGGAGAATACCAATCCGATACACGTTACCTTTCATCTTTGAGGTTATAGTTTGTTTATAGTTCGGTGAACTGCGCAGTCCAGAACTGCCCCCCGGTGGGGTTTTATATGGATTACGGGAGAAGTCACGAGCTGAGCTTTACCCTAAAATCCCACCGGGCTAATTCTTGGAAGGCTCTCTTTTTAGCCTAATCACCTTAAAATCAGGACCCTCTCAGGGCATGAAAGACCTCTGGACGCCCTGAATATCACCATTTATGCTAAACAAAAATCGAAAAGGTGTCGTGTTGTCGGTGATTCATCCCGCAGATTGTGGGGTCGCAACGTCATGTCGACCCTACAAATGGAGTGTACATACTCTTCTTTCCCCCACCATCTCCCCCGAAGAAAAATAAAATAAAAGAAAGCTCATCATGTCCGCCCCCGAACAAGCTGCATTTACCTTCTTGCCTTTAGGCGCCATCATCCAAGAATTCCGCGTCGGCGGCAAGAACATCGTGCTGGGTTTCCCCACGCAAGATGACTATGTCAAGCACAACTCCCCGCACTATGGTGCCACCATCGGCCGTGTCGCAAACCGCATCAAGGATGGTCTGATTCAGGACCTGAATGGCCGGAGGATCCAACTGACGCAGAACGACGGCCCCAATTCCCTGCATGGTGGTGAGAAGGGTTGGGGTAAACGTATCTTTGACGGTCCGCACACCGTCCAGCGCAATGGCCACGACGCCTTGCTGTTCAAGTACCTTTGCCTCGATGGTGAGGAGGGGTACCCCGGTACTGTCGAGGTGCGCGTGTGGTACACCGCTAGTAAGGAGGGTGATGCCAAGACCGTGTTGACGGCCGAGTACGAGGTGGAATTCATTGGCAACGAGTGCGAGGAGACTGTAGTCAACCTCACCAACCACAGGTAAAGACGTAACCACTTCTTCCTCTTCGACGACATCAATCTCAGAAATTAGAGCTATCCGCTGACCAAGCTCCCCCCTCTCATAGCTACTTCAACATCGGCGATGGACCCGATATCTCGGGCACCACTGCCCAGCTCGCCACAGGCGACTATCTGCCCCTCGATAGCACAGGCATTCCCTCAGGTGGGATTGCCAGGTTCCCACGCGACGTGACAACCCCATTCAAGCTCGCCGCAAAGGACGCACACATCGACGACGTCTTTGTGCTGGAGTCCGATGTCAGCAAGATTCCCTTGGACACCCGTGGCTTGCCGCTGCGCCGTCTGGCGCAGTTCAGTAACGCAAGCACGGGCCTGCACCTCGAGGTGCACAGCACCGAGCCTGCCTTCCAGTTCTACACTGGTAAGTACATCGATGTGCCGTCGATCAATGGTGCGCCGGCCCACCATGAGGGAGCTGGATTCTGTGTGGAACCTAGCCGATTCGTGAATGCGATTAACGAGCCTGAGTGGCGGTCCATGGTTTTGCTGAAGCAGGGTCAGTTGTTTGGCTGCAAGACTGTTTACAAGGCGTGGAAGGCTTGAATGGACTAGTAAAAGAGGTATAGCAGTACATACAACATAAGTGTTGAGACATTTTACATTCTCAAAGTGGAGACTTGGGCCTAGACACCTGTATTTTTTGATTATTATACAAGGAGCCTCGGCATCGTACGGAGTATACACATTGTAATCCAAAATAAAAGAAGAAAAAAATCAAAATGCCGAAGCCGAGTTATCTCCCGGATCCTCGGCAGCCCGTCGGAATTTGACTTCCCTTTTATCAGATGATTTTTATACGTTCAATGCATGTGAAATTTCTCTGCTACATACATTTAACTAGATACCTATTAGATATGCATTATAGTACATATAGAGTATACCTCCAATTCCACACAATTTCCCAATTCGTATGACCCGTTCCCTTCGAGAAGAATCTCAGATTCTTCTCCACTGGGATAGTCAAGCCCATGACGATCCATCTTTTTTAGTGTGCCGTATTCCCGGAATGTGGCGCTATAAGGTACTATTACTATTTTATCCTTATTATTGGAGCGGATATAGGATTTACTAACTATGTATAGTGTAGGGTATCTCAATAACAGGGGCCATCCATGGATAACTATGCCCGTTAGCTAATGGCTACTTGGGAGTGTAGAAAAGTGTACCCAAGGTAGAATATAACTACGCACATATACGTATGTAACTGCATATATGCCTGCGTAGGTACCATATTCAGTATTGTATACTCCCACGTGACCCCGGCCATCGGAGATCGGGCCAACCCTAGCTTCTTCACCCCGCGCGGGGAACCTTCAACATGCGAACTCGCAGATCGACATACTTCTCCAAAATACCTTGATCCCATTCATTTGATCTCAGCCTACTCTACTCACAATGGCATCGGCTTACGGAGATCTGCGCCATTTACTACCTGGCAACTACAAACGTGTCATAACATCCTGGCTCGAAGAGGATTGCCCTAGCTTGGACTATGGCGGCTTTGTCGTCGGCGAGTCAGAGGGCGAGGCCCGACTGCTAGGAAAGAGCAAGGTAAAGCAACAGAGTCTATAACCAGATATTCCTACCTATCCACGGGAAGAACATTAACTGATCAATCCTCCAGGGCATCGTCGCAGGCGTACCATTCTTCGACGAGGTCTTCTCGCAACTAGGCTGCACGTAAGTCTCCTAGTCCTTTACTCCTCCATCCACGCCCCACTCACAGTCCCACACACCTCTCTAACCCGTCCAGAATCGAATGGCACATCAAAGAAGGCGAAGCAATCACCCCAATCCAGCACTGCGCAACCGTCCGCGGCCCCATCCGCAAAATCCTCCTCGGCGAGCGCGTAGCCCTAAACATTCTCGCGCGTTGCTCAGGCATCGCCAGCAAGAGCGCCTCCATGCTCGGTGCGCTGCGTGCGCAAGGATGGCAAGGTACCCTGGCCGGTACAAGGAAGACAACCCCTGGGTTCCGGCTTGTTGAGAAATACGGGATGCTTGCTGGCGGCGCCGACCCACACCGCCATGATCTAAGCTCCATGACCATGCTGAAGGATAACCACGTGTGGGCATGCGCGAACAACCGGGCTGCGGCGGACGGCGGTGTTGCGGACTCGTCGTCGATTGAGTCTATTGCGGCAGCGATCCCCCGCGCTGTGCAGGCGGCCAAGGCTACTGGTGGGTTCTCGACTAAGGTTGAGGTTGAGTGTCGGAGTGTGGAGGAGGCTAATGCGGCGATTGGGGCTGGGGCCGATATCATTATGTTGGATAACTTTACGCCCGAGGGAGTGCGGGAGGCCGCGGCGCAGCTGAAGCGCGAATGGGCTTCGAAGAAGGCTTTCTTGATTGAGGTGAGTGGTGGGTTGACGGAAGAGAATGCGCCGGCGTATGTCTGTGCCGACGTCGATATCTTGTCTACCAGCTCGATCCATCAGGGTACGGGAATCGTGGATTTCTCGCTCAAGGTCTCGTTGCGGTAGATTGTAGTGTATCATACAAAGGATTCGTCCTAATAGAGCATATGGACGTGTATACAGTACAACGAAACAAAAATAAAATGCACAAAAAACCCCGACAATCTCCCAACAAAATGTTGTAACCCAAGTAAAATAAAACAAACGCCTTTCCTCGTCTCATTACCCTCGTGAATGATCATTACAAGTATATGCGATAAGTGTAATGTGGAAGCGAAACACAAACAGACGGTGGGTATATATATCGTAACAGGAGAAAAGCGACAACAAATCAAACTTCGATGTCGACGGTGATGCCTTCCCCTTCACTGGAGCTGGGAGCCTCATCTGAGACAGGGTGACTGCGACTGCCGCCATCTGCAGCGGTCCCCGAATGTCCGCGCCGCGTACGTTCCCGGCTGAGCTGATCTCGAAGCTTCTGGTTCTCAGCATCACGCTCCTCGAGTCGCTTGCGAGCGCCACTGCGATCTAGAAGCCGACCTTCACGTTCAGATTTGAGCCGCCTCTCTAGCTCATGCAACCTGTGAATCCATTTCTCATCGCCACCATCCCAGCCACTGTGCGAGCTGCGTGTGCGTGGTATCATCGTTCCAGCATTGTTGTTGGTCAACGTGCTGCTAGAAGAGGAGTGAGACGGCTGCGGAAGTCCCGTAACACTGCGAGCGAGGCCTTTCTCAGGGCGAGGTCTTTCAGTGCCAGCTGTGGAGCTAGAACGCCCCAATGATCGTTCCGACTCTGCTGTTGACGTTAAAGAAGGAGATCGGGGCCCCGATGCCATGACTGCAGCCGCAGCAGACGCAGGACCTTGTCCTCGCGAATTGGATTGAAGCAGGTTGAGTTCAGCTTTCAGCAGACGGTTCTCCCCACGCAATTTAGACATCTCCGGCGTGGAGCTCGACTGTCCGCGACTGGATCGCATACTTTTCAAAGCTTCTTCGAGGCGCTCGAGCTTCTTGATCCGCCCGTTATATGACAGCTCAAGCGTGTGATAACGCTTGGTCAACTCGTGGTCAATGCTCTTGATGCGAGTCTTGAAACCCGCCATCACGGCCTCGACAGTTTTCATTGCAAGCAGAAGGTTGCGGCTGAAGCCCGGCCAAAACAAAATATTACCAATGACCTCCTGGCTCGGAAGATTGCCATTGATAAGACTGTTGGAGTGCGCCCAGTCCGGCCCGCAAAGCCCGGATAGCCTCTTCCAAATATTAAGGAACATGATGTTCCTCTCACTAAGCTGATCCTTGAATTGCTGCTCCAGCGATGCATATCTTTTGCGGTCTTCTGTCCGCGCTTTTTCCAGATCTGTGATACGGGAATTGCTTTGCGTGATGGTCCGGGAGGCCTGCTGATGAGATTTGAGCGACGACTCAAACGACTGCTTGTCGGCTCGGCGCGCGTGTCGTTCGCGATCCAAGAGTTCCGAGAGTTTGCGTGACTCAAGCCCATGACTTTCGAGCAGTGCGTCACGGTTTCGAAGCAGAGATTCTTTCTCGTCTAGCTGCGAGCGGATGCTCTCCAAGTCCAGGGCGGTTGACTCGAGTTCCTTTTGCAGCTTCATGATATTGGTGATCAAGCTAGATCGACTACCGCTGAGATCACCTAGAGTTTCCCTCAAATTGTTTTCGAGGTCCATCAACCGTTCTCGCCAAGTGGAGGTTTCAATTTCCTGGGCTGAAAGGCTCTTCTTCAGACGTCGGACCTCCTCCTTGGAAGCTGAAGCTTCGCGGTTCAATTCATTCATGATACGTTGGACATCTTGCTTTTCCTTGCTTCCAACCACTTCTCGCTGGTGACGTTCATCCGCCAGTCGTTGTTCGAGTTCTCTGGTCTTCTCCTTTTCACTGACCAAACTCATGTGGTAGTTCTTAAGATCCGACTCGAGGTCTCCGATGCGGATCTTATCACCGTCTTGCTCTTCGCGAAGGAAAGCAATCTCATTCTGGCTTGACTCGATCTGCACCGTCAGCCGCTGCACCTTGGTGTTGGCCTCAGATAGGCTCTTCTCCACAGACTCCATTTCACGATTGGTCTCCTCAAGCTCTTGCTGCACAGACTTGTATGCAGCCAGGTTGTTCTGTGCATCTTCCTCTAGACGGATTATGCCTTCGCTGGCAGATCGCATCTCGGCCTGCAAAACCCTGAGGTTTTCGTCCTGGTTTCTCAGGTCCTCGTTCATGCGCTGGCACTCAACAATTTTCTGGTCGAGTTCGTCTCCAAGTGTATCCAACTCTTCCTGCGCCTCGGCCCGCAGGTCCTGGAAAGCGGCATCTCGCTCGTTCGCCATATGCACGGCCTGGTCTCGTTCTTGCTGTAGGCTTTGCATCTCTTCTTCAGCTTGATCAACATCAGCCTGGTACGCCTTGTCAAGAGCCTCTAGTTCTCCAATGTAGTCCTCCAGTTCGGCTCGGATCGCTTGATTCTCAAGCTTGAGGGTCGACACTAAGTCTCGGAGTTGTCCATTCCGGGCTTCGAGTTCATCGCGGTCCATGTCGCTCCGTGACATGCCCGTTCCGTCGCTAGCCTGAGATGATGGTCGGACATGCGTGCGTGAGGCGGAACGGTCGAAGATACTGTCTCCAGCTATGGAGCGACCAGCATGACGACGCTCTCCGAGCTTCAATTCTTCGATCTCCTGATAAAGACGTTCCTTTTCTCGGTTGCGAGATGTGAGCATTGAAGTCTGAGCACTAACTTCCTTTCTTAGTTCTGCGTTCTCCTGTTTAAGGAGCCCCAGTTCTACAACAAGCGTGCTGTTGGGAACGGCGGAAGCTCGGTTGCCATCTCTATCAGACGTGTATGAAAGAGAGTCGTATTGGCCATGCTTTGTGGCAGAATACATCTCAGTCCGCAAACGAATCGACTCATCTCGAAGTCTTCGATTTTCTTCCTCGGCTTGCTCTCGCGCTGAGGTCTCTGCGTCAAGCATATCCTTCCACATCTCCTACGTAGCTAATTAGCTTGGATCTGATTGATTGTATCCATCTGACTTACTCGCTCTTCTCTCGCACCTGTATCGGACTCTCCCGCACGATTATCGCTGAGCGACTTGACCATTTCGGCCAACCGTCTCTTCTCACTTTCCCGTGCAATGGTTTCCGACCTCATACGCTCAATCTCAAGTTCATAAGTTTCGACACGTTCGCGTAGGAAGACGATCTCTTCGTCCTGGGCCGAGTCGCGATCACCGTCTTCTGATCCTTCGGGGTCATGATTGACCATAGAATCCTTGTCCGATTGATGGTCTTTCACTTGCTTTTCCAAGTCTCGAATCTTGCGTCTTAGGCTTTGATTATCCTTTGAGAGCTTGACCTTATCTGATTTGAGCTCAACATTCTCCGAGATCATCTCCTTAATGCCTTCCTCGGATCGCTTGTTCAGCGCCTCGTTAAGAAAGTGGATTCGCATTTTCAGGTCAAAGTTCTCCTTCGCCAAGCGATCAATGGTGCTGCTCTGCTCCTTGAGGGTCAGGTTTCGGCCACTTTTCGCAAACCCAGGGGTCGAGGCCCCCAAACGCTTCTCCGGGGACGCTTTGAAGTCCTCCCGGAACCGTTGAGCAAATGTGGTAGGGATCTGAATGCCTTTAACCCGCTCGGCAATTGCTGTATCTGTGGGGACATTGCTGTCTTGTGGCTTTGCCTTTGGCGTCACCGGTGTGGAGGTGTCTTCATGGTCAACAGGACCGGCACGAGAATGTGGTGAGCCTTCCTCCTCCAGAGTGTGTAGACCGCCATCCGTTGGACCAGGCGCATTCCTTCTGTCAAGTGGATTTTCTTCGCTATACCCGGAGATCCCAGATGCCATGCTACCGAGACTGGTTGTCCTGGCCATCTGCGCACGACTTCCAGCGTGCAAACTTCCATAGTTATCCGAAATCGCGCCTCCGGTTTGAAGGGCATAGTCCGCGCCTAGTGTGGCATCACTGTTGGTTGTTTGAGTGTTGTTACTTGCGACCGAAGATTGTGAGAGACGATGGGCTGGTTGTCGGCTAGTCAGGTACTTGGGTTTGCTAGCTCTACGACTACCAGTAGCACTGCCACTTTGATCACTAAATAGGTGCGACGCACCTGGTGACAGGCTGCGGGAAGTGTTTCGAAGCTTCGAGGGAGTGAGTTGCGATTCGTTCTGGGCCATGGAAAATTCAGATCTGAAGGGGCGCTCATCCTGGGAGAGCTGGCTGGTGTCTCGCGCATTTTCGGATAATGTAGTTTGATTGCGTCGCAGCGCTGCAGCTGCCGTGGGTGACGAGGAGAGTGAGTCGAGCAAGGAATTCTCGGTATGTCGTTCTGCAGGGCCAGGCGCCGAGTCCAAGTTCGTATTCGGCTTCTCCTTCCCTCTATGTTCATCATCTTCCATCGGGCATGTCTCGGCTGGTTCTATGAATGAGAGCTGTGAGGAGTCTTGCGTTGTGTCCGTAGCATCATTCTTTGGAACCCCCACTAGGTACGTATCATCCGCGCCAGCAGCAGGACCAGTCGCAGCCACGTCAATTGTGGAGGGTTCCGGCAGAAAGCTTGACTCAATGTCCATCAGTTTGCGGCGCATTTCGTGCTCTTCGATTAGGGTTTGGTTATTGGCGCGTTCGTGGTCGTGGTCGCCATTTTCACTCGATGGATGGAATAGACTACTCTCGTCGCGGTCGACCGAGGAAGGAATAAAGCTGTGATCATCGAGATCTAGCTGCGTCGATGTCATGGTAAATTCAGGGTCTTCATGGTCTTGATCTTCATGATCCGGCTCTGAAGGGGTTGCTTGCGCGTACTCAGATTGGGACTGTGTTACCGAGTTTGGGGGGAGACCCCCCGGTGCGTCCTCTGCCATGAAGTATTCTGAACTGAGATCATTCAAGGTCTGATCTGGCGTCTGGAATGCCGAGACAGAGGGGGTGCGCACTGTTGTGACGGGGGAGATGACGCCCAGTGTTTGGGTATCCACTCCCTGCATCTCGCTACCCGCTTCGATCGACGAATGGGCGCTCATTGTTGTAATTTGATGTATCGAAAGTTAAG